TACGAGTATATTCAATATAATACGCGCACGCCGTGTTCCATTACTGGGCGCCGGCAAAAATCGCTCACAGACAGTCGACACACACACGCACACACGCATATATTATAATCCCTCAAACGGTACTCGCACACGAACACAAATCCACTCGATTCAATTACTTATCAACTCTTTTTCTTCTTCGCTTATCCACATAATATTGTATAGTTCCCCTCCGACGACGACGATCATGTCTTTCGCGATCCTATATAATAATACACTGTCTCGTCGTAAGTGTCGAGTCTAGTTACTAAACAGAAATTATATATATATATATATATTACTACTCACATACCTAAATATATTATATTATATTCGCTCTCAGCGTTCGTCGATCACCACTGAAATAATAAAATACGGTTGGGTGCGAGATATTATGACGTAATACTTGGATAGGTAGGTCGCGCATCAAAAAACGGCAACCGATCGATCTGTGTTTAGGTACGCGAAAAGATAAATAAATGCTATAATTTACAATTACGTAGGAGCAATACGCCGAACGTGCGTGATATCGCAAGTCGTATCGAAAGTTCGCAAATAACGCAACTAAATATTATACATGTGGAATATCGAGTTTACGGAAATACGAAATTCCTAGTATGAAATCGTACCGCAATCAAAATTCAATTTTGAGTTGACATAACTGTTTCAATACAGCTAGTGTATTGAGTTCTCGTCATCCTTCGATTTGAATTTTTATTCATGCCTCAAGAGAGTTCAAATCATTTTTAAATATACCTATATTATATGAACCTGGCAACGATTTGCGAACCACCTAAAAAGAAAAGGGTTCAGTTTTTCGACTTAAAAATAAAATACTTTATTTTTTAAATAGATCACTTGACGGTGATTCTACCCGCGTGGAATATCATAATGTGTTTAAATTCGTACACTGTACAGGCTGTAGTATAATTACTTACTCATATTGGTACTATCGTGATGTATGATGATCGTCGACTGTCGAGTTTTCCTTCTGTTGAATTACGACCATATTATATCGTACATAGGTAGTACACAACATAATTCAAGCACGTCATACAACTAATTCGTTATTTATTCGAGAGCGAAACGCGACAGGGGATTATCCAGGAATAATGAAAAACCGGACCCCATATCACGATATAATATAATATTATGATGATGATAATAATATATAATACGTTAGGTATATATCACAGTGCACAGCACTGTATACCAGGGGTATACCACCCGACGATATTATATACTCGAACGCGATTCGCTACTGTTCGCGGTCGTACCCCTGCAAGCACCGCGACCACGGGGTAACCGGTCCCCATAATAATGCATTGTAATCATGGTCATTACTATTTACCACATATTATATTATATGACATGACTGCTAGTCGAGGGGTTCGACATCTAAGTATTGCGTGAATACCAAGTGTGCCCTGCATTTTTTTTGTGGGGCACGAAGGAGGGAGGATCCTATAATATACTACACGAGTGTATATATGACATGATACTAATATTATATTATATACAGGTAGCGATGCAGCGGAGGCGCTGTTTTTCCCCTCGAAAACTGTTGGGGTAAAATATATATAATATACATGTAGTATATATACAATCATTTACGATTTGCTGTAGTGCATTGTGCACACCATATATCTTCGACACACTATAAAATATAATATTATAGTTAGGGGAGCAGAAAAACTGAGTTCGTTCATGTACTATAATATCTCTATCACTCTATTATATAAAAGCAAAGTTGCGTACATTTTATTTTCCACTAAATTGCCATGCCAACCAAGATACAAATAAATAAATATTTTTTCAAATTAAACACTACACTTAGAAACAAAACACTCTCTAGTATTTAAAAAAACAATTTACTGAATATTTTTATTTTCCATATATTTAATATTTTTAATATTAAATTACAACTATTAAATTTCAAGATGCAGAGAGGAGCGCCCCGGGTTCGGAAAACGAACCCTTCATGGAAGGGAGGTTGGAGTGACCGATGGGGGTTGGTGAGCTAAGGGAGCCCCTAGTAGATACATATAATATTATTAGCTAGATACAAACTATATATTATTATTACCTATGTGTAATGTGTACATGTCGAACATATTATATAGGTGTACAGTTTTACACTGTACATATGTTTATATATGTATGCTTTAATTTACAATGGCCACTTTTCGACGCATATAGCTCAAGTATAAATGTCGAGAGGATACCTTACGATATATAGGTACATATAATATACGTACCTATGTCTGTGTGTTACATAGCTGTGGGTATAATTGTATAATATAATTGTGTTTTATTGCGCGTGACCGTGTAGGTTATTTAGTATTTACATATTATGCAGCCATACGGGGTCAATCAGATCCTACGAAACTGAGATTTTAGTTCTCTCAAACGGATTTAGTATGATAGGCCCGCTAGCGACAGTCAAAATATAAAATATAAATTGACTTCACAAAATAAACACCGTCATAACGTGAGAGCAACTGCTACATACGAGTGAAATGTAAATTGTTCATAGTGATGTTATCAATTAATACTGAACATCATTATATCGAAAACATTTTTTTTAAATCTTTGAAATATAATAAGTATTTTATGATAACGATGAATGGACAAACTTAATTTCAGTTGATGGGATTTTAAAAATATGTATTTCACCCTGCAGGACCAATGTTTAAATACGCCATAAATTAAATACATTATAATATTATAAGACGTATATGGAGAGTAGAAGTTCGGTTAGGTTATGTTAACAAAAAATTTAAGAAATCGTCAAGCAAGGCTTGGCAAAAATGTTGTGTTATATTATTTTTGTAAAAACGTAAGCAAATGAAATCCATCTAAAAAAATTCAAAGCATTGTAACGTCGTGCACAGTACCTACTACCTATACAAGACAGTGAACCGCGGAAAACCCTCCTCATTAGGTCAAACTGTACAGAAAAAGTTACACTAAATATTAAATATGTTTAGAATTAGTCACATGAAAATTTCAAGTTCCACAACATTTTCGGCATCGTTATTGATAATCTACAAGCACAAAATTGTCGTCTACTGTTCGAAGTTGTCCATATTACTATGCCAGACATGAATTAACTTTTCCAGAATATCTATATGGAATAATCGGACGTTTTTTAAATGTTAACAAACTAATATATTATTAATAAAAAAATCCAAATGTATAAATTACTCACATGTAAAAAATTTAGACGATGATAGCCCAAATCTTGAAAAAAATCATAAAGTAATATCTTAAGTATTACAGCTTATGGCCTACATTATGCGACAATGGTACAATACATAATATTATATTAGACTTATGATAGATAACATTAGGCAAATGCTAGGCAAATTTAGGTAAATGTACTTAATATAATATGCATATCACACTCGAACATACAACTATAAATTGCAATAGGTATAGTAAATATTTTACAACCGGTGCAGCGATATCCGATAGTAGTACGCCGTAAATATTAAATCAAGGTACCCTGGCACTTGGAGTTTATGTAAAAATAAATAGGGGCCGTTAGGATCTCGCCAACATTTTCGTTTAAGTTTTGGGAAATTTCCGTTTCTATATTATGGCTGCCATTGTCTTCTCTGTATACGATAACGATAATAATAACGCAACAACAACGATCGGCCCGGTGTCGCAGGCAAATCTTACCTCCGGATAATTTTACACGGAGGGGGGGGGGTACGATTTGCCTGTTACACCGGTTCCCTCGCGCTCTCGACGACGACAACGCATAATCATAACGATAATAATATTATAAATTATTTATTGTAATTTTTATGTATACACAGGTATAAATACGTGAAGTTTACGCGTTTTGCCTAAAATTCATGATTTCAGAGTACCACGGGCAGGCGCATATGGTGGCTGAACGTATCGACACCGAGTCGAGCAATATTGTTTTCGTACAAGACTCAAATACACGCATATTATATATTATTATTATTATTATTATTATATTTCGCATGTGCATTCGAGCCGAGCGGATAAACAGCGTTGAGGAAACACGCTCACGTGACTATATGTATAGATTCGAGACACCGAGGGAATAATATTCTCGCCGATTTACATATTCGAGGTAAATCCAGGGCCGCCGTCACTGTGTATAGGATATGGTGCTCGGGGGTGCTCATATATTTATAGGCACTGCAGTGTCTCTATATTTAGGGTGTTAAATTTTATGAAATCCGGGACAACGAATTCAAACTTGACCTAACCATTACTTACTCTATCTCACAGTTTGTATGCACTCATTATAATTAATATCATATTATAATTATATCGTGATAAAATGTTTTTTTTTTTGTACGGTGGATACATTTTTTTTATCCTGCCTCTGCCATTTTTGAAAAGCACCACACGCTGACGGTTGGCAGCAAAATTCACATATTTTAATTGATATTTCATAGATATTACTTGTGTTAAATTCGGACACATTATTTAGTCAAACCTGATTATTACGCACCAAGTCCCGAAGAAATTCTTCGGGAAACCGGAAAGAGATTTCCCAAACCGTTAGTGAACTAGATTTTCAGGGACGGATGATGGCTACCCCAGCCTACATATTTTTAGGCCACCGCTCAAAAATATCTTTTTATATACACCCTTGTACTGCATTACCCGGAGCTGCGGAATAAAGCGATTATGGCGAGTTTTAAAAAAAAATTTATTATTAATATTTATTATATAAAAATATTTTTTTATTTGTTGGCCTTGTAAACAAACCTATATGTTCTGAGCTACTAATATATGTATCTATGCAATATAAACAATTAAATTATTGTAACCTGGTTTTCCATTTTTGTTATTTATTCGATTTATCTTATTATTGTTTCTTATTGCCGGTACATTTTACTACGTCAATTTTGAAACTTCCACTGAAATTGAAACAACTTATATTCAACTCGGTGAACTGCATTAAAGTCTAGATATCATATCTAAGAATGATGCCTAAGGAAAATATGCGGAAAAGTTACGACAAGACAAATATTATTCGAACTGAATCAGTTTCAGTATCTGGTTCAATACGTCACCGTCGTCCAGATACCGCAACACGATCAATTGGAAAACCAGTCATAAAACATAGTCTTGTGAAGAAAGCGACACGTTCGTTTGAAGCAGATTTAACTAGAATTGAAATAATCTCTCTTTCAAGGCGCACAGCCAGAAGAAAAAGGATAAGGGTACCAGTTTGTGATACAAGTTCACTTGCAACTAACGAGGACCGAAAATTGAACAAAGTAATAAATGTCAATTATTATCTACTTCTTGCAGTGTCTATTTATTAATGTTTTTGTAACAGAATTCCGGCAATATCTGCGCCGAATGTTCAAGTACATCGGCTAGAAATCAATCCGGTGAAACGGAACCCCTACAACATTGTGCAGGGAACTGTGGCGTTTCATTGCATTCTTCTTGTTTGGCAATTAAATGCGGCCCCTTGATTACTTTGCTACCTCGCGGATACCGATGGTTTTGTCAGAGCTGTAAAACGTGCTCGACAATCCCATCGTGTTCAGTGACCGATCGTGTAAGTATACGATTAAAAAAAAAAGTAAAAATCGAGGCATTAAATTAATTTTATACATAGATGACGTATTTATTAAACTGTGGCACATGCGAACGTGGTTATCATTTGCAATGTCTACAGCCTGCTGTGTCTGTAGATAAACCGAAATCGGAATGGCGATGTTTGTTTTGTAGAGATCATGCTATTTCTAGTACAGTAGATCCGTTTGATGAGCGCGGGAACAGGCTGAGTCTAAAAATCCAAATGTATGTTAATAAATTAAACATTAATTTTAATGCTATTGCCAAGTTATCTAATTGATATTCGTTTGTTTTCGAGAAGAATTTGATTTTTAACTTCTGTACTAAGTATGGTTATAACTAATTGCATGGAATATTTTATTTCAGATTCTTAATAACTTAATAACCTTTTCTACAGTACGTTACTATTGATTTTAAAGCTAGGTACCTACCTATAATAACAGTAATAATAATATATTATATATTATGAAAAACATAAAACATGTGTAATATTATTACAAAAAATTTAATAATATAATGCATTTTTTGATTTTTCAAAAATTAATGAATATCATCATATTATTGCGTAATAATGCAAAAACGATGGTTCGGAAGTCAAACTTTGTAATAATAAATCACCATGTAGTGAGAGACCCAGAGAAATTATTACTGTCATTCTAGTCTGTCGAGTTTCAATTTAAACGAAAGTACCACTGAAATAATCGAACACCAAGTATGGTAACCATTAACCATAGGTACTCATTTTGATCCCAATTACAAACACTATTTACGACTACATACGAATTATTACGACAGGAAAAATTATATAGGTACCCCCCCCCCCCCCCCTAAAGATGCTGAAGTATAAAACCAAAGCTTTTTACTGCGTCAAGAGATGATGATAGACACACCAAAAAAAAAAAAAATAATACATGCATAGCTTACCTCGGAATTTAAAACAAGTTATTATAAAACCAACTCAACTCTTATAAATATCCAATCCTAAATCCTAAACAATGTCGAAATAAATGCTTATTGATTTTTTTTTTTTTTGTAATGTATATATTATGTCTATATTATGCTTTTTCATTCACTTTATAGTAATGTAAAATTTGTTTCAGTTCAATCTCAAATTTCCATAACCGTGAAAATCAAAATACTATGAGTAGAAATTGTAGTGTTCGTATTTTCATATATCTATACATGTTATACAAATGCATATCAAATGTTATTGTTTAATTTTATTCTTAGCAGATGAAAAATGAACACACCAATGAACTAGACAATAGTGAAAAGCTGCGCAGTTGTAAAGATGTAGTGGAAAAATATAAAATTGGATTGGGAAAGTGGACGGTACCTCTGGATTTGATGACAAACAGTTATGACAAGACAAATATTGTTCAAACTGAAAGAAATTCATTATCCAGTGTAAAAAGTCAACACCATCGTCCAGATATAACATCATTGATTAGAACACCTGTCTTACAACATAGTTCTGAAAGAAAAGCACGATTACTTACAGTAGATTCAAACGCAATTAAAACAACCCCCCTTTCACTCCCTATGGCAGGAAAAAAAAGGAAAAGGGTACCAACTGAGGCTAGCGATGAAAAAAATAAAAAAGTGCTTAATAAAGGTCAATTATAATTTTGCTCAGTATATATTTATATATTGTACTTTTAACAGGAAAAGCTTGGTAAACCATCCATTTCAGATTGGATGTACTTCCGTGATGTCATGGTTGACGGAAACGTCACCTCAGCCTCTCACTTAAAAAAAGTAATAAATGTCAATAACAATATCATTCAGTATTTATTGATATATTGTAATTTTAACAGGAAAAGCTTGGAAAACCATCGATTTCAGGTTCGATGTATCTGCGTGATGTCAAAAAAGACTGTAATGTCCCTTCTTCACTCCTTACAGTTGCAGCGAAAAAAAGGAAAAGGGCACTGACCGATTTTGCCGACCAAAAATTAAAAAAAGTAATAAAGCAGGTCAATTATTATTTCTTTCAGTGGGTATTTGTAATTTATTTATTTTTTTTGTAATTTTAACAGGAGAAGCTCGGAAAACCATCCATTGTGGGTTCAACGTATCGACGTGATGTCACTGAAGATGGTAATGTCTCCTTTCCTTAATCCTCTCACCCTCATCAGTTACGATTAGCGGTTAAAATTCTGCGTTTAATGCTCTAGTTGTGATCGGGATAGGATTTGGTGTGTTGAATTTTAGTCCATTGCATGCTGTAGGTTTATCTTTCTGTTTCTTTGAGTCATTTAATCGAACATAGACTGTAGATACCAAGGAATATGTCATACCACAATATTGAATTTATTTTTTGAGAATAAATGAGACAGCCTTAACTCTTTGATTAATGAATTAAAAATACACAGGTGTTACTCAAAGAGCCGATTAGGACTGGAAAATAAAAAAAATAAATACTGATTTCGAAGCAACGACCAATGATAATATTTATGTCACACTTCAAATTTTTAGCGATGACCCATATATACGTCTTAAATAAGTGTATATATATTATATATAATAAAAAGGTTGGCTTACATTGTTTATAAGGTAAAACCCTAAAATAAAAAATAAATATTGTCGGTAAACCTATATATACGTCATCGGCTTTTTTAGACACAACTTTTAATAACGTATATATATTATATGGCAATATTTAATGCTCGTCAATGTCATATGAAGAATTTATTAAATAATAATGGTTTTAGTTTACGCGATAAAAATATGCTCAATTTAATACCAAAACAATATATTTTAATATTTTGATAATTATTTAAATTAACTATTTTTTTTTAAGAAGACTTGTAAAGGCCAACAATTATGTATTATAAGTTAAAATATTTTCATTAAATTTAACACTGAATACAGTAAAACTCGTTGATAATCTCTATAGGACCAGTTGAAAAATCCTATTATTCTGGATATTGTGTATCAAATTACAGGGAAATTAGCACATATTAGGCAAGATTAACGGGAAAATAAGAAAACTGTATTTTTAAACATTATTAATATGTGCTCTGTCATGCTATTTAACATATATTTGTCTATATTAGTGTTTATTTATATTATACCATTTTTGGCTTACTATAAGGAGTCAAAGTAATAAATAATAAATACAATTTTAAAATTTTCAGTTCTGAAAAATATGAGCCGCCCTGTTGCACCTAATGGGGCTATGAACGAAGATGTCGAAATCTGCAATGGGACAAAATCAAGGGCAAAGAATGTAAAATTTAAATAATTATTTAATTTAAATATAATGTTTCATATTTCTAATTGATAATTGATACTTGACAATATAGAGTACAATTGCTAAGGCTCCAATAAGATGTCCGGCTCAAATACAATTTGGGAAATTTGAAGTGGAGACATCGTATTCATGTTCATTCCCGCAAGAAGAGGACACTGCAAAAAAATTAATGTTTTGTGAATATTGCCTAAAGTATACGAAATGTCAATCGATTCTAGAAAGACACATGCGCCATTGTTGCTGGAGGCAACCACCAGGAATTGAAATCTACCAAAGTGGAGATCTCAGTGTTTTTGAAGTAAATTAATTTTAACTCATAAGAGACTAAACTATATAATTGTATTTTTTTTCCACAGGTTGATGGAAATGTAGACAAAACGTACTGCCAAACATTATGCCGAATAGGAAAATTATTTTTGGAACTTAAAACCCTGGTCTCTGGCGTCGAACCGTTTTTATTTTACATTCTTACGAAAAATGACGGTTTTGTAAGTATACTCATTTAAATACATTTTATTTTGTACTTTTTTTTTAGTTTTCTACTATTGTAATAATGTTTCATTCATAATGTTAAGGGCTGTCATTTGGTTGGTTATTTTTCAAAATTAAAAAATAGTGAGGAAAATCATAATTTATCCTGTATTGTAACCATGCCACAGTATCGAAGACAAGGGTATGGTCGAATTCTCATCGAATTGAGTAAGAGAAAACTAAGCGGACTTCGGCGTTTTATCAAATATCACGTCTAATTCATCTTTTCAGGTTATCTCTTATCAAAAATCGAAAGGCAACCGGGAACACCAGAAAAACCCCTTTCCGGCTTAGGTCGACTGACATACAATAAATATTGGAAAGATGTCATACTAGAATATTTAGATGCACATAGAGACAGTGACAAAATATGTATTGATGATATTATCAGTGAAACTGGTAATTTAAATACATTTAATTTGAAACTTTTTAATTTTAATTTTGTGATATTATTTTAAAACTAATAAGCTATTATGTAAACTTTAATTCAGGTTTAATAAGACAGGACATAACTAATACTCTAAAATTCCTTAATATGATTGTGGAAGTATTTAAAAAAATGACAGTATGTATTGACTGGGACATTGTAGATGCTCATATAAAGAGAAAAACTACATTAAAACAAATTCATATTGAACCGGATCGTTTAAGATGGACACCGCCAACTAAATTATCAAATTTATTATTTTCACCAGATGGCAAAGTTAGTTTTTCCTGATAAAAAAAACTAAAAATGTATAACGAAATAACGATTTTTAACCATTAAAATATTTTTTTTTAGGTTAGGCAAAATCTTGAAGAACCTCTTATAATTAACTGCATTTTATGAAAAATGATAAAGAGATGTAGGAAGATGGTGAAAACCATAAATTGAATGATGATTTGGTTTGAGGTATGAAGAAATCTTAAGCAATCTGGTTCAATATGAATTTTTTTATGTACTTTTCCTCTTTATTTTGAGCATTCGCAGTAGGTAGTCCCAGGCAATACATATTATTTTTTTTTTTTTTAAATACTTCCACAATCATGTTAGGTATTCTTAAGTATTTGTATTAATACATTAATTTAAAAAAAAAAAAATTAGAAAAAATACATTGATAAAAAACATTAACAAAACAATAGTTTTTTCAATTCAGCCTACATTCAGCTTTAATTGTATTCTATAATATCAATTAGTGACAGTGGTAGATCTCAGCCATAGTAATACTGTGAATTGTAGTAAGTTGAATTGATAACAACTATTGTTTTGCATAGTAATACTGTTAATTTGTAATTGGCTAAATTTATAACAACTATTTTTTTTCATAGCAATATTGTTACTTTGAACAATTGTATTTAATAGACTGAATTTATAATAAGTATTGTTGATCATATTAATACTGTAAATTGTAATATGCTGAATTTATAACAAATAATGTTTTGCATAGTAATACTGTTAATTTGTAATTGACTAAATTTATAACAACTAATGTTTTGTATAGAAATACTGTTAATTTGTACAAATGTACCTAAAAAACTGAATTTATAATAATTATTGTTTAATAAAATGTTTTGAATTTAAATAATACAAATGTTGAGAAACTTGTCCGTTAGTGAACAATAGTCGTTTGATAGTTACATAAAACTCGGTAGGTACATAGGTACTATGACTAAAAAAATAAACATTATTTATTTACCAAACTGAGTAGATATTAATATAATATAATGTATTAAAAATGATTTTTCAATGTTAACCCCGGTAAACGGAAAACTGGTACGGTCTTTATAAACTCGGAATATTGGTACGGTCCGCAACAGTCAAGGTTTCCCAAGCTTTTATGAAAAAAAAGGTATAAAATATCAACGATTGTTTTTAATTTTATTTTGCCGACGATAGATGGTAAACCATGAGTGACTACGATTTAATTATATGAATATAAAATGAAAAAAATACTCTGCAAGACAAACTACACAACGATTGTGAGAGCTTCTTAAATAAAGAAATTCTAATGGGACAATGTATAAATAATATAGCAAAATATACGAAATAATTATTATTAATCATAAATTATATTATATTTTATTGTACCTACATTTCATATTTATTTTACCTGCCGTCTACTTTGTATGTACTTGTTTATGTTTTTTGTTCATTCTGATTCTTAACATTATTTTTGTGTTGTAAGTATCATGTAAATTTAACTTGTTGAAGATGGTGATTTATCAAAATTATATAAAATATTGTAAATATTTTAGAACCCCTGACATTTAAATTTTGAATAGTACCAGTTTTCCGGTTTTTTTTTATTTCTTTTGTTATAAATTGTATGGACCGTACCAATATTCCGAGCATCGTTAACCCCAGGGTTAAAATATTTTTTACTACGCAATGAGTGTGTGAAATATTTGTGTAAAATACATTTGCAGTCTTGTGTAATGTGATTTTTAAATGTATAGGCTAGGTAGGCATGTTCATAGATCTAGGAACTAGGTAATAATAGAGGGGTCTCTTTTTCTAGTAATGGCTTATAAATTAATATAAATTAACGTATATTTAAAAATTCATAAAATCAGGATTTTTCAATGGGGAGGGAGGAATTGAATGTTAATAACAATTTTTTTTTATTTAGTCCAACTTAACAATATCAGACGTTAGGTGAGGTATTTGAAAATATTTGTACAACTTCTCAACTTTTCATATAGAAAAAGTACTCTGATCATCATCTGCGGTGAAGGTTTTTGTAAGCAAACTATATCTAGTTGATATATTTGGGAGGTCAAAATTGAAAACTCTTGGTACTTTCTAAAATAATTGTGAAAAATAAAAATTTGTTAAAACTATTTGGTGGGTAAAATCGTCTTCAGTTGATTGTCTTTAATTTTTTTCTTAAAATGTTGGTAAAAAGTTATGCAGTCTGTCAAAAAGCGTATACATGTAATAAAAGGTTTCTTATGAGCTTTTTAATTTTTATTAGCAACAAAAATTCCAAGTTTTTGTTATTGTAATTTATAAAAAATATTAAGGATACATTATTTAAATCATAATTATTTTTTTATATGCATTTTAAATTAAAATTTTTACAAAACCACAATTAGTTTGTATAGTTAAAAATGTATAAAATATCCAATTTGTACAGTAGTTAAGGCTTGGATATATTTTAATGATACATCGTTTTAGGAAAATAATTTTTTGGTATTTAGTTTTGATAAATACATTTTCTTCAGCCCTTCTCTCGTGGGCTGGGGTATATCTATTCATCATACTTGAACGGTTTCAAATCGAACATTAAACGAACGCCAAACCGTCTCATATAGATAATACGTGTTATATACCCACATAGGTATTTTAATAAATGGATCGTTATAGCGAATAATCTTCGGATTGGCTGTATATAATAATGATGTTATAAACTTATCCGTCAAGCTTCAACTTGAACGCGCAGTTTATTATTATAGACGCTATATACGATTATAATATTATTGTTCGTTCTATGACGTGGGCAAAGTTAAATGTGAGTCTTATAAACGGTTTATATAATATACGACTACATATAGTATACAGTGTTGTATTGAAAAACTTTCATAATCGACGTCCTAGAGCGCACATAAATAATACTATGGCGGAATTTATATATATTATCATAAGTTTTAACAATTACTGACGATCTGTAAACCAATAGGCAATAATACCTGTACCTATTCTTACAATACACTATTACTATATGTATAGGTACTCTACTACTCTGGCTCACCAAATTTTAGCACGAACAACGAGAGTCTTGAATTCACTGCAGCCAGTACCTAATAGGTACAATTATTAGTAGGTAATAATTTATTACTAATCCGTATACATTTACCGCGCCTTTGGACAGTTGTTGACAATTACTACAGTAAATACCGCAATAATATAAATAAAGGTTCGTAAAATGTTAACATTCTAATAATTACGATTGTTTGCGTCGGAAGTACATAATATTAGAAAATCAATAGGTAGATTACTTAGTCACCATTCGACAATACAGGTAGGTACTATATTAGGATATAATATTTTGTATCGACATTGATATATTTTCTTGCGGTTGTATCGAAATTGAACGATGTTAGAGCTTAGAAAAATATCTATAAGCACTATTCGCGCTGATATAATATTGATATGTACAAGTCAGATCTATTGAATCACCTCACAAAATAAATTCGCACGTTCTTCAATTCTGATCCGTCCAAATTTCGCTTAACTATTATAGCTATACCGTAAATCGGGCGAGTGTATATAAATTGGTATCGTTTTGATTTTTAACGAAATTCTCCCAAATTTGCGGCGAATGCAGCAGTGAAATCGGACTACATTTACTGACACCTATACGCTATTTTTGTCCGAACAAAACACAATATTATGCCTACGTGACCGGTCAAAACGACGATAATTATGTAAATGCGCATTGACCATTATGATTTAGCAATTTTGTGTTAATTTTATATTATATTTTTTTTTTTTTTTGCTTATTATGTATTTTTCGTAAAATAAATTGCATAATATTATATTCAATAATAATTGTTATCACTTATCACCGTCCAGCGATGTGCGTACTTTCGATTGGTTTTTTAATCCGTTTTATTGAAATGCGCCTGCATTATATTACAACAACAAATATTATACGTAGCTGAGGTCTCTTATAGTACAGATAACATGTTGGTGAGCGCATATTTTATTGGCGAACCGTTGTTTTCTGTAAAACGTTTAAAATAAGAAATTATATATTATGGGCGGGAAGTACAGGTACTCGTTTACTTACCAGCCATGGTATTATTTATGTAACACATTTTTGAAAAATAGCCAATATTCCCTCAGGCTGCAGTGGTTTCGGTTTAAGGCATGCGATGACTTTTCGTCCCGCTATATCGTGATAACTTTTCTCGTCTGCACGAAATAAATAAAAATGCATAATCCTCTGCGTGCACACGCCATTTGCTTTTACGTAACTCCACCCATCGGTACTGCAGTTGCAGTAGGTATATTAAATACCTATAGCAAGAAAACTTTTTCAATACTACGATGTTTGTGTTTATATACCTAATGTTATTATGTTAATGATCGCCGTTCGGTTATAAATTATTTTAATTCGATTAAAAAGTGATTTGCCGTCAATAATCGCAAACTGCAGTCAATTAATTAATTAAAATTAATTGTATAGTCGTACCCGGACTATAATAATATAACTACTTTTACTTTATAGTCACATAAGCACGAATGAAATCTGTTTCAAAATAGTTTTTAATTTTTGTTTCTCACGATAGTCATCGTCCATCGAGTGCATACTTTTATGGTACGTATATGTAGGCATATTGTGCAATTATAAGTCAAAATATCCAATTAAAAATATATTAATTTTTTTATAATATTTAAATAATCTTTCTGAAGTTTATTAATTGTCGAGTGTTAAATCTACTATGAAATAAATAATTTATTTACTCTGATAATAATATTATACATACATTGAAATGTATATCGATTATAAAACATATGACAGAATAATATAATTATAATTGCAATCCATATAATAGCTCACGCCAGTGTGAAAGTATTTACAATTAAAATATCAGTATTACTATTATTCATAACTTAGTTGGCCGACTTATCAGACTGCACACTAGTGCATAGTACCTGCAAGAACTACTCTCAACAATTATTTTAAAAATAATTACTTATATATTATATAGTACCTACTTTTTATCCTGTTTTGTTTTCGGCTGTATGCCATGCATCTAATATTTTATTATAAAACGGTTAATGTAGACAAAATGTAGGTACTGATCGCCGATCACGTAATAATGCGTTTACATCATGACAGTTGTCAATATTGGCCTCACTTAACACGTATATACAATTTACAGCCATCAATTTTTTAAGCGATGGATATTTGTTGGTTTGTTTTAAGTTCAACTTGTAAATATTATTTATATCATTGTATAAAATATATGCTCTGAAGATGATAAATATCATTCGATTGAACAATAGATA